ATGGAATTCCAAAATCTCTGTAGATGTTCACTGAAATGAAAAATAAACAAACTAAATTAATTAAAAAATATTTTTAATTTTTGAGGCATTTGGTAATACGTCTTTTTCTTTGCTTTGCACAACCTCTTACCACCTTAAGTTGGCATCCCAGCCCTCATTAACCTCTTCTGCACAAGATAGAGAGGGAAGAAGAGAGAGAGATCCCTGTGGGGACAGGCAGGGCTGCTGGCCAGGCCACTAAGTGGGCTCAGCTGTGCACTTCCATACCTCTTCCTCTGAAGAGGCTGTCACTTCATGTTCTAGCAGCTGCTCTTATCAGCTGCCATATTTTAGATGTCTTTGTTCGGGTGACAGCCGAGGGTAGGGCATCACCCACCCCGGAGTAAGGGACATGAACTTGGTGCTGACTGTCTACTACTCAGGGGCATTCTCAGTTCCCTCGGGGTCCTTGGGAGACCCCGGATGGCTAAAATAACTCTCCCTTTGACCTCTGGACAAGGAATAATGATCAAGGGTGACACCTATTGCGCCAGGCATTTTGCGCAGAGCATTTTACAAACATGGACACAGTCGTTGCAACAAAATGAGGTAGGTCGTGGCTTCTCAGTTTTGCAAATGGGGAAAGCCAAGATCAGAGAGGCTAAATAATTTGCCTAACATCACACAGCTTGTAAGTAATGAAGCCAAAAGTCAAATCCAAACCTTTCTGTCTGTGCAATCGTAATACTCACTCCCCAGGAGTATATTATATGTGAGGTGGTGAATATTGGGCCCTTATCTCGGCCAGTCTGTGATGTACAAGATCTCTCTAAATCTGAGAGGACTCAGATGGATTTCTCTCTTACTAGCAGGAGCAACCGCAGCAAGGTGAGAGGTTTGAGGACCACCTGGCACCCAGGAGCCCAGGTTCTCGCTTGTCCTCTGAGGACCTGGCTCCGTATCTGGGGGAGAAGAGGCCAGAGGACGCTGACCCCAAGAACCCTGCAGAGGTACGTACGGGAGATTCCTGTTGCTGTTGTTGTTGATCGCTGTTGAGTCTCATAGTGACCCTGTGAACAAAAGATCTGAAGCCTTTCTAAAACTATCGTAGTTCCTCCGGGTTTCCAGGCATGTGGTTTAGGAAGTGTGTGTCAACCGACTAAACCCTGACCAGTGAACGAACGGTAGGGCTGGCAGGATGGAGAGGGGGCCATTCCAGGCTACACTGGACCTCGTGGCTTCATTTCTCATCCTGGGAATTTTCAAGTCCCTGATGTCGTAGCTTGTAGTGTAACGCTGTAACCAAAACCCTGAGTGTCCCAAGCAGTTCAAAGCCACCAGCCACTCCATGGGGAGATGACAGGCAGTCTCCTCCAGCTGAGATTTCCAAGCCGGGAAACGGCTATGAGGTGGAACCAGTTCAACAGCACTAAGTGGGTGAGCCTAGTTCCTAGACCATTCAGCATGGCTTTCCGCTTGCACCACAGGCGTTGCCACAGTCTCACCCCACCGTTGCCCCAGACTCGCCCCAGGCTGGTTGTAGGGACAGCAGTAAAGAATGACGTTCCACAGGTCTGATTCAAGGACAGCTCTGCAACTACTCTGAGCCTCCGTTTCTCTATCTACTAAACAGAATGGCAGTGCTTGCTTTGTAGGTGGGTTCTGTGACTCCATTGAAATTCTGCTTGTCAAGAGTATATAGCTCCTGCTTGAAACAGACCAAGAGCCCAAAAGTTGACAGCCAAGGTGGGGGGCGGTGGAAAGGACAGGAAAAAGGCACAAAGCAAGTGAAATCTCTTTCAGAGGCAGGAGATGAGGGATGGAGTCGGTCATGGGTGAGGGAGTCCTCCCTGGGACTCTCCTCCGCTTTCTTTGGTCCACATGACAATTTCCAGCTAAAAATGCAGTCTCTGTAAGACTGTCAGTTCTCAGCTCACCTAAAGACTGCTCTCCTCAGCGGTTCAAATCCATCCACCACTCTGCAGAGTGATAAGGCTGGCCTCGCTCAGGTAAAGGTTGACAGTCTTGGAAACTCCATGGGACAGTTCACATATTTTGACTCCAGGACAATGGGGTTTTAGGTACTTGAGCCTAATGGGTGGACGTAAAATTTGCGTTTGACTAGTAACCTAAATGTTGGCAGTTTGAAACTACCCAGAGCGGAAGAAAGGTCAGCAATTTGCTTCCATAGAGAATACAGAAAGGAACACTCTATGGGCCTGTATGGACCTTATGAATGGGTCAGCACAAGTCAGAATCCCTGTGCCCGCTGTGGGTTTAGTTTTTGGTTCATCTTTGCCAGTGCTTGTCACCGTCCTCTCTCTGTGTGGACGTACCAAATCCAGTTCTTATATTTAACACAAGAGCTTTCAAGAAGGAGCCCTTGGCAGTGCAGTGGTTAAACGCTGGGATGTTAACCGAAAACCTGTTACAGGATGAGCTTTGGGCTGGTTCCCCCTCCAGTGAAGGAGAGATAGGACTTTCTAAGATAAAATCCATGGGGTGGATTCGAACCACCAACCTTTTGAACTGCTGACCTTTTGGCTAGGAGCTGAGGGCTTAACTCCTGTCCTCAGGAGCCCCTGTCCTACCGAAGCTCTTTAGGCAATGATAAGGGAAATGTCATTCATTCCTAACATCCCGTCAGCTTGACAAACTGACTGACCACAGCGAAGTGAGAGGCGAGAGTGGCTGAGGTGGGGTTTGGGGCGCATTAAGTCACTTGGTCTTGCTGCACAAAGTTGCTGTTATTGTTGTGTACCATCGAGCCAGAACCAACCCATAGCCGACCCCCTGGCAGGTTTTCAGAGGCAGTTAATCCCACTGGAGAAGATTGCCCATCCTTCTTCCGCAGAGCAGCTGGTGACCTCGAACCACATGCCTTTGGGATTGCAGTGCAGCTTCTTGCCACTAGGCCACCAGCGCTCCCTTGCTGGACACAGGTTGTCTCATCTGTCTCGTGGACACCCTGGCTTCTTCTCTCAGTGTGGTGTTTTCAGTACACATCCGCTGGGTGCTGATCTTATTTTCGTTTTCAGTCCATGACCCTGGACAGGCAGGGAGGGGCCGGAGAGCAGATGGGGACCCACCCCACCATTTGGGTCCATTAGTCCAGCTATCAGGTTCACTAATGAGAGAGCAGCTACAACTCCTAATTGAATTCATCTGGAGACATTACAGGGCTGGGGCTGTGGGGAGGGCAGAAGGCCCTTGCGGGGCTGCTCCCTGATTAAATATTCAAGCCCCGAGAACGCTGACAGTCTTTATGGGTATAATTACGGTGTCTCAGCCCTCATCAGCACTCCATCAGGGTCCTAAGAGTCTGAGGCCTCTAGCAGTTGAACCTCTGGGACTTGACGGATAGCATCCCTGTTCCGGGCCTCAGCTGGTGAGGCAATGAACACATGCAGGAGGTGGTGGCCTGAGGGGGCTCGAGTTCCTGGGCCCACCCCATAGCCCGGAGCTCCTGGCCAATCTGACCTTTAGGTGGTCCTTTTGTGGATCTACCGGGCCCCTCTGAGAGCTGAGCTCACTGCCCCCCGTCTCTGCCCTGCAGGGTGTGGATGACACGAGCTCTTCAGAGGGCAGCACGGTGGACTGCCCGGACCCAGAGGAGATCTTGAGGAAGATCCCTGAGCTGGTGGACGAGCTCGAGGAGCCAGACGACTGCTTCACAGAAGGTAAAACCGTGGCGGTGGCCTTCTCACGTGGACATGACTGGGAGACTCACTCACAGGGTCTCTTCTATACCCCTCTATCTAAGGCTCGAGGGGCCAGGGTCAAACGTAAGTGCCCACCACTCTCAGCAGCCTCGCATTGACGTCTCCATCACACATCATTTCAGACATGACAAAGGGAAGAAAGCTTGAGGGCACACCCATTGTCACCCTCAAAATCTCCTCAGGGGTTTCAAACCAGCCCCCTTGAGATCAGAAAGGGAAAAGGTCACCTCTGTCCTCACCACTATAAATGCTCCTGACTGGAGACCTGAAAGGCCAGCGGTCATGATGTGTTTATTTCCCCTTATCTATCAGGTAACTCTTAAGGGTTGTTGTTGTTGTTAAGTGCCTTCGAATCATCGACAACTCATAGCGACCCTACGAAAGACCTGAACATTTGTATCATTTTCACCGAACCTGTATATTATTCACTTCCTTTTTCCTCAGTGTCCAGAACCATGAAGCATACAATATGTCCTCAATAAGTATCTGTACAAGGGAGAATAAACAGTTCTTGTTATGAAGGTAATTGTGGTCTCAACACATTTGAAAAATGACCAACTTCACTGAACGGCCCGTTCTCCTTGACTGAGAGCTGGACCCGGCCAGACTCAGGTCCCATCCCCGCTATCCCACCACCCTTCAGTCTAGCTTGGACTCCAGTCAGAACTCCTCAGATACCACCAGGCTTTCTGGGCTTCCCGGGAGACATGAGCTGGGTGTGCGCAGGGACAGGGACCGTTGGTATCTGGGAGGTTGGCTGAGGAGGACTTCAGAGTGGGCAGGTTGGATGATGGAGAGGAACACCTGGAGGACAGGATGGAGAGGCTGCCTGGGAGAAGCCGGTCTTCTCACATATTCTAGAAAAGAATTCTTTTCCAGTAGGATGGAGAGTGGGTTCAGAGGAGATGCAGGTTTGGAGTAGGAATGGTCCTCTGATCTAGCCGGACATCGTCCGCCGTCCGTCCCCTCTGCCCACAGGCTGCATGCGCCGCTGCCCGTCCTGCAGAGTGGACACCTCCAAGGCCCCGTGGAGCGTGGGCTGGCGGCTCCGTAAGACCTGCTTCCTCATCGTGGAGCACAGCTGGTTCGAGAGTTTCATCATCTTCATGATTCTGCTCAGCAGCGGAGCGCTGGTACGAGGGTGGCAGGGTGGGGGTCCCCAAGGCCCTGGAAAAGCCTCCCTGAGCTCCCCTGACTCCTGAGCCGAATACCCCCAACTTGCGGCTTTAAGGAGAGCTGTACTCTGCCACAAAGGCTCCCGGTTTTGTCTTTTTTTCCCCTTTTATAAAATATTGTGGTGGAAACATACCCACCAAAACATTCACCAACTCAACGATTCGTACTTCTAAAATTCATGACACTAATTACATTCTTCACATTGTGCAACCTTTATCAATTTCATTTTTCAACTTATTCCACAGCCTTTGTCATAAATTTAAAGTCCCATATACAAAACTTCCCTTACCCCCTTCCCACCCCTGGTAGCCACTAATAATCCTTATTTTTCTGAATAGCTGCTTGTCTCGTAGAAATAAGATCATTGTGTCTCCTTTGGTGGCTGACGATTTTAACTCAGCATAATGTTTCCAAGGTCATCAATATTGGGGCGCTCACCCGAGCTTCATGTCTCTTCATGGCTCAGTACTATTCTGTTCTGTGCACACACTACACTACACTGTGTTTATCTGTTCATCTGTTGATGGGCATGTTGGCTTCTTCCACCTTTTGGATGTAGTGGCCATCGCTGGACAGGGTTCTGTTTGTGTTTTGCTTTCATTGAAGGGCCTCTCTTCACAGCAAGGCATGCTGGGTGTTCAAGTGTCCTCGGCCTGGCCTGTTAATATTTCAAGCAGTGAATGTGCCATTCTCCTTCACAGAGGGGGATACTCAAAAACTATCCCTGTGGTGATAAGACTTTCTTTGCCTTGATTCCTTAAAAAAACCCCAAAAAACAGCATGAGATTTTTGAGGTTTTTTAAAAAAAAAAAAATTTTTTTTTTTTGCTAGAATCTACCCAAAAGGTTTGTTACTTTTGTCCAGGTTGATTGACATTTTCTGGGTTAAATTGTAAGCAATTTAGTTTTGATACTTTTTGTCTGGTCCTGGGCTGCAGCCTGCCCAGGGAATGGTCAAAAAACTATGCAAATGAGGGGAGTTGTACTCTACTAGGCAAATGAAGTGTCTGTGACCTAGTGGGAGGAGATTGGTCAATCTGTGGCTCCTACTGGGAGGGGCTGTGCCTTGAATTTGACAAGGCATTGTTTAAACATATGCAGCCAAGCCTATAAAGATTTTTAGACACAAAAAGGAGCGGTATGAGAAGCGGAAGAGAAGCAGAGAGAAGCGAAGCGAAGAGAAGAGAAAGAGAGAGAGAAAGGCAGCAAGGGACCTCCTAAAAGAGCTGAAATGACAATGAGAGGGCTAGAGGGGCCCAGAGGCAGAGCTGGTGATGGCAGGACCAAGCTGGTCTGAGCAAGGCTTCCTGTACTGAAGAAAGGAAATTTTGTCTCCGTGCTTTCTTATCTAGGTCCTGTGATATAGCATAATGATGCTGATACCAAGTTGTACCCCATTCCTTAATAAACCACATAACTATAAATACAGCCTTTGAGTCCTGCTGGATGTTAGAGCCTTGCCATATCTTAAATCGGTTTGGAGAATTTGTAAATCTGAGAAATATTTGACCTCCATCTCATAGAAATTGGTTGTGTGCTGATTTTTATATTTAACATTATTTATACAGCATCTCAACGGGTTTAAGGAATCTGTCCAAGGTCACCTAGTTTTTTAGGAGTAAAATACACCTTTACCTTCATATCCATTTGATCCCGAAGTCCCCTGGCTTCCCCCTGCTAACCTTCCCACCCCCTTGCCTAAACACACCAGCCCGTCTGTTAAAATCCGGTACTAAGAAGGCTTTCTTACCTTGTCTTCTCAGACTACTTGCAAACACTATTATTACTCCTTCAAAGCTGACAGCAAATCGTTATAGCAGCACTTCTCAAAATGGAATCCCCTGGGGAGCTTAGTAAAATGCAGATTGTGATTCAGTGGATGTGAGGTGGGACCTGAGAATTTGCATTTCCCAACAAGCTCCCTCCTGGTTGCTGGTCCACCCTGCAGCAAGGCCTTATGGGAAAAGGTTCCCAGTTAGGAAACTTTCCTGAGCATCTAGCTGCATCTCTGCATTGCCAAGTGAGCAAAGATGACGCTCTGTATTCTGTGATGAATCATCTCAACTGTAGCCCTAGGTAGACACTGGGAGGGGGCTCATCATCTACCATTGTGGGGTGTTTACTCAGAGGAGGCAAAGACCTAAGGCGTCAGTCAAGTGACTTGTCAAGGTCCTAGCTACTTAGTTCAAGGGTTAGAACTAGAGCCCCTTCTCCTCATTTTTCATCCTCATTTTTCTTCACTTTGTCTTTGTCCCTAATGGACACGTACTTAAGTGCCAGACGTCCCAGGAATGGTGCTTGACCATGTGCCATCCACCTTAGTGAGAATCAGACGAGAATAAGAAGGCAGAAGCTGAGAGGTGGGAGAGAAAACTCAGGCAGTAGGGACCCAAAAACCAGGGTAAGAGAACATTCCAAGGAAAAGGGGCTATGCAGGCATCACGGCTGCAGTGAGGAGAACAGATGGTGGGGTCTGCCCTGTGCCCCAGCATGTCCACCTTGACCACAGCAGCCTCAACACTGTGGTGGTCACAAAGACTGAATTCCAGGGGAGGAGGGGGCCGGCCAGTGCTTTCCCACTCTCCCTTCTTGCCTTCCTTTCCTACCTTCCTTGCTAAAAAGTAATGACCACGCTGACTGTTGGCTGCGTGTACTTCTCATTATCTCATGGACTCGTGCCCTCTCCTGGGCTTTCTCTCCTCACTTCTCCACTCTGCCTTGCTCCTTCCCGGCATCCCCAGCTGTGAGCTCAGACCCTACAACTCCTTCAGCTCCAGTGGCTCTGCCCCCAACATGTCTCCACTTCCCCAAGAGACTGACCAGGCTCATATTAGATTTAGTCTTTTTTATGCTTTTAGGGAACACTGTTGTTGTTGTTGTCGCTGTTGATTGCCTTCGAGTCGAGCAAGACTCATAGCTACCCTATGAACAAAAGGCCTGAAGCCCCTCTACAGCTATCACCATCTACCAAAGTTCATAGAATTTCTGGAGGCATGTTGTTTAGGACGTGGATGCCGCTCCTGCTTCCCAACAGGAGAGACTCTTCATTGGAAGGACAATCATGCTCGGAAACATGGAGTGTCAGCAAAAGAGAAGAATATCTCCAACAACTTGGATTGACACTGTGATCTCAGGAACTGACTCCAATGTGTCAAAGAGATGAGGATGGCACAGGATAGGACAAGGTTCAGGTCAGCTCTTCAGAGAGTCGCTATGAGTCACACTCTACTTGACGGTACCTAACGACAGTAACAGTGACATAGTGGGAGCTCTGGTGGTCCAGAAGTAAAAGCTGTGCTGCAATTTCAAAGGCACGTGGTTCAAATCCACCAGCTTCTCTGCAGGAGAAGGATGGGCAAGCTCTTCCCATGCAACTTACTGTCTCTGAAAACCTGCTGGAGAGTGAGCTACGAGTCAGTTTTGAATCGACAGCACAGAAAAACAGCAGTGACATAGTGTAGTGACATAGTCTGGTCGGCTAGTGGAAAAAAGCTGTGCTGCAACTCCAAAGGCATGCGGTTCAAACCCACCAGCTGCTCTGTGAGGGAAAGATGGGCAATCTCTTCCCATGTGATTAAATGCCTCTTGAAACCCCTTGCAGGGTCAGCTATGAGTCAGTTCCAACTTGAAGGCACACAATTATGAGTGACACAGTGGATTAAATGCCAGTCTGCTCACCTGACAGTCAGCAGTTCTAACCCACCCTCTACACCATGCAGACAAAGATGAGGAAATCTGCTCCTATAACATTTATCACCTGGGAGGGTCATCACGAGTCAGAACAGATTTTCCAGGCATTGGGGTGGAGGGGTTTTTTTTTTGGTTTATGCTTCCACTTTGAGCATTTTTTAAAAAGGGTTTTCCTCTGACAAAGTACAAACTTTAAAAAATGAAAAAAACAACTTGGAAATTATAGAAAAATGCAAAGAGAAGGCAGCCACAGCATTTTCCCATCATCTGGGGAGAAGCTCACTTTGAAAGCATTTTGATGGACCTCCTCCCCATTTTTCTTGTGCATGTGATACATAAATATCGCAGAAAGGAAGCCACATTTAAGCATTCTGTAAGACATCCATTTTCTCTGTGGATATTCTCACCCTACATTCCTTTATGGCTTGCAGGGGATTCTGTTATGTAAATGTACTGTGACTTATTTAATCAGTCCCTGTGTTAACTTCTAATAGCTATGAATAGCCCTGTGTGTTTCCCTCTCTGGAGATTGGACCACTTCCCACCTTAGATCTAGTCCTGTGTGCAGAACCTGAAGCAGACACTCCGTACAAGCAATTTGTCAACGGGATCTGTCAGGAGAAAGGTTCAAGGGAACCAGAGCATAGAGCAGAGGGAGAGGAGAGAGGGAGCTAACGCCTTTGTCTCTAAGCTGATCCCACCTCCTGGGAGCCCCAGAGCAGGGCCTGGGATCTTCACTGGCTTTGGCACTTCAGAAGCAAATCTGCAGGCCTTTCTTCTGATCTGCCTCTGGGTACACTCGAACCACTAGCTCTTTGGTTGTTGTTGTTATGTGCCATCGAGTCGTTTCCGACTCATAGCAACCCTATGCACAACAGCTCTAAACCCTGCTCTATCCTGCGCCAACCGCACTGCCTCTGACACACCCATCCCGATTACCCCAGTCACCGAATCAATCCATCTCATAGAGGGTCTTCCCCTCCTGCGCTGTCCCTCCACCCTCCCAAGCATGATGTCCCTCTCCAAGGACCCGTCCCTCCTGGCAACATGTCCAAAGTATGTCAGACGAAGCCCCAGAATCCTTGCCTCCAAGGAGCAGCTTGGTTTAATCCTCTCCAAGATGGATCTGTTTGTTTTCCTGGCAGTCCAGGGTACATTCAGTACCCTTCTCCAGCACCACAGCTCAAAAGCATCCACTCTCCTTCTGTTCTCCCTAGTCATTGTCCAACTCTCTGATGCATAACAAGCGATTGCAAATACCATGACCTGTATCAGGCGCACCTTAGTCTCCAGAGAGACACTGTTGCTCCTGAGTACGTTTGAGAGGTCCCTAACGGCAGACTTTCCTATCGCGATACGCTTTTTGATTTCCTGACTGCTGGTACCAAGAGTGTTGACTGTGGAGCCAAGCAAACTGAAGCTCTGAACACTCTCAATCTCTTCATCATCCATCCTGACACTGCCAATTGGTCCAGTGGCGAGAATCTTTGTCTTCTTGACGTTGAGCCTTAGTCCATACTGAAGGCTGCAGTCCTTGACCCTTCGCAGCAAGCTCTTTGGTTAGCAGACATTTTTTGTCCCACCAGACAGCCAGGAGAGCGAACTCCATTGCCACCAAATTTATTTCAACTCATAGTGGTTGAGTTTCTGAGGTTGAAAGTCTTTACAGGAGGAGATCGCCCAACTTCCTCCCACTGGGCAGTTGGTGGATCCAAAACACCAAACTATAGGTGGTGGTGGTGGTGGTGGTGGTGGTTGTTATTATGTGCCATCGAGTCGCCTGTGACTCATAGCCACCCTATGTACAACAGCCCTAAACCCTGCTCTATCCTGTGCCAATCTCACTGTCTCTGATTCACATGCTCCTATAACCCCAGTCATGGAATCAATCCATCTCATCAAGGGTCTGCCTCTCCTATGCTGTCCCTCCACCCTCCCAAGCACAGTGTCCCTCTCCAAGGACTGGTCCCTCCTTACAACATGCCTAAAGTATGTCAGACGAAGCTTCAGAATCCTTGCCTCCAAGGAGCAACCTGGCTTCACCCTCTCCAAGATGAATTTATCTGTTCTCCTAGCAGTCCATGGTTTATTCAACAATCTTCTCCAGCACCACAGCTGAAAGGCATCAGTTCCCCTAGTCATTGTCCAGCTCTCTGATGCATAGCAAGTAACAGCAAAAACAATGGCCTGTATCAGGCGCACCTTAGTCTCCAGACTGACATCGTTGCTCTTCAGTACTATGGAGAGGTCCCTGACAGCAGACTTTCCCAGTGCAATTTATCTATAGCTTGATATGTTACACACTATGCCACCAGGGCTCCTTAAGAGTAGAGAATGCAGCTGATGTTGTTGTCAATGTTGTCGTTGTTGTTAGGTGCCACCGAGTCAAGTATTACTCATAACAACCCTATAAACAAGATCTTAAACCTGTCCTATCCTGTGTCATCCTCATCATCTCTGACACACTTGAGCTGTTGTCACAGTGACAATTCATTTCATTGAGGGTCTTCCTTTCTTTCACTGACCCTCCACCTTCCCAAGTGCGATGTCCTCTCCAAGGAACAGCCTCTCCCAACAATATGCCCAAAGTACATGTGATGAAGCTTTGTCATCCTTGCTTCCCAAGAGTACTCTGGCTACAGTTGTTCCAAGATCTATCCAAGCATGATGTCTTTTTTTCCCAAGGAAATCTAGCTTCAGTCTAATCCAGGGAGACCTCCGGAATATAAATGGCCTCACCGATCTGATCTATTTCGAAGCTACGGAGTAGCCTCCACAAAGCACCCTGACTATGAGCTGTCCCCCCAGGGAAGGATAGAGCTGCCTAAGAACTTCTGGAGGTGGGGACAATTCCTTTCAGCTCAGGGAGGTTCTTGGGGGGAAGGGGTACCTGCAAGCTCTTAGAACTCTCTCTGCAGATGAGAGCTGGGGTCATTGGCCCCTTAGAAAGGATTGAGGTGGCCCATCAACAGCCTCAACTACATGTTGTAGGATAAATTCTTAAAAGTCGAATTTACAGCGAGCTCTGGTGACCTAGTGGCAAGAAGCTGCACTGCAATCCCAGAGGAGAGCGGTTCAAATTCACCAGATGCTCTGCTGGAGAAGGAGGGACAATCTCCTCCTGTATCTGTCAGATCCGATTTGACAGTACACACACACAAAATAACTTTTTTAAAAAGTAGAATTGATAGGTTTCTGGAGGCTTTGACTCGTATTGTCAAATTGTCTTCCCCAAAGACTGAGCTGGCCTGAGCTCCCAGCCAACCTAAATGGCCACCGCAGCTTCCCCGCTGTCACACTAATGCTGGGGTGTTTTCCCAGTCTTTTTCATCCTCCCCAATCTGATAAAAGGTGAAATGGTGTTTTCTTTCAATGTTCCTTTCCTTGATAATCTGTGAGCAAGAACATCTTTTTTCCAGGGGGCTTGCTGGAGATCCTGACTTTCATTGATGTGAACTGCCTGTGAACATCCTTTGAAGCTGTTCTTTTTAAACCAAGTCACCACCAGCATCCCTTTGGTTCACTCACAAAATCCACGTGGAGAAAGTTTCCATTCTCACCTGCATTCAGCTCCCCTGCCAAATCCAGGTGGGGCTTCCTGTCCCCCTAGAGCTCCGCTCAGGGTTTATCTCTCACTGATGCTTCTTCCCCAAGGTCCTCTTGCCCTCCTGAGGGTGGAGAAAACAAAACGACCCCAGAGAGCTGGGTTGCAGCTCCACTCCCAGAAGCTATAGGGAGGACCGGCTGTCGACCTGCACGCTGTTACTGAGTGTCCACACAGCCTGTCTTCTTGTTCCCCCTTCCTCCAGGCCTTTGAAGACTACTATCTTGAAGAGAAGCCCACAGTGAAAGCCTTGCTGGAGTACACTGACCGAGTGTTCACATTCATCTTTGTGTTGGAGATGCTGCTCAAATGGGTGGCCTATGGCTTCAAAAATTACTTCACCAACGCCTGGTGCTGGCTGGACTTCCTCATTGTGAACGTGAGTGGCTCATGGGCACGTGTGGGGCTTGGGTTCCTCACCTCTGACTAACAGCTGCAGCCCATGCAAAGGAAGCTTGCAGGCTCCACCTTGAGGGCTTCTCCAAAGAAACTTGGAGCATTTAGTTAGCAAAGGGTGGTAGACCAGCCCGCACACCTGTGAGTGTGAAGATCCAGGGAGCATCTGATGCTGGCACAATGGGGACGCTGAGGTGAGTTACCAATTCCTAGAACCTCCAACTGGAAAGACCACTTACTGTTCTCTGCATTTTACATCCAAAGCAAGACGGCCGGAGAGGCTCTTCAGGGTGTGATGTATAAGGAGTAGTCAGCACGGTTTGCCTTGTTAGTTTAGTGGGTTCTCTAGAGAAGTGAACTAGGTTGTGTATGCAAACAAAGGAGAGAGAGAAAGTGCTTCAAGAAAGTGGCTCATGCAGTTATAGGACCTGGCAAGTCCAAACCCACAGATGGGCCAGGAGTCAGGCTTATAGACCTCTCCTGGCTTACATGATTGCAAATTCAGATGAACTCAAAATCTGTAGACCAGGCAACAGGCCGAAGGCCTCTATTGGTTCAAGAGGGGGTTGTGGAGGCTGGCAAATCTCACACCTGTTGATCGGGCAGCCAGTAGGCCAGAGAATTCTGGAGCCCAGTGTCCCAGGAACGGGAGGTCAGGTAATAAGAAAAGTACATGATCAAGAGAGAGCAAAACATCTATGTGTATTTGGGATAAAGGCTGCACCTCCAGGGAAACTGCTTCCCTTTCAAATGATTGGTCACATCATGAAAAGTATAGATTAGATTACAGTTTAACCAATCTAAGCTCTGCCAAGCCACTGAGCATGAGAGCCAGGCTGAGTTGACACGTAACATTAATCGTCACAAGTGGTCCTAAGTCCGGTTGCATAGGACACTTGCTGTAGGGAGATCTTAAACATGCAAAGACCAGGCACTGCTGTTCCCAGAGGTTCTCCTCACTTCCATCTTGGGCGCAAGCAGGTATCATATTTTTGAAAACACCCCAGGCATCTCCGGTGTGACACCGGAGCTGAGAACCCCTGAACTTACCTCACTGACTCCTCTCTCTTTGGAGAGGTGATGATGTGTGTGTGTTCAGATTCACAGTAACCTGTAGTCACTAATGCCTGCATGAAGGACTTTGCCAAGAACTCCCCACGTACTAGATGTGTGATTCATAAAAAATACAAAGAAGTCCTCCTTCTCCAAGGTCCTCAAGAATCTCCCTACCTCCCAAAGTCATGGGGGTCTCTCTTTCCTCTTAACCACTCCATTGTTCTAAGTACCCAGGCAGATAACCCCTTGATTGTATGACATGGTTCTCTAGGTGAGCTGTTTGCTCACCATTTGCTGCACTTCTGAGGGTTCCTGCAGGCAGGGTGATCCCTGTCGGTTGTTCCTCTCAGCTCCCCCACCCAGCAGCCCCCAACCCTAAGGTCTCTGCATCAGAGGTGCGCGGGATCGGTGTTTGTGTTTGACGCCTGCCTCCTGGAGCTGGACGGGGTCCAGCCCAGAACATTCTGTCCAGCCTCCCATGTTGGCAGGTCCTCCCACAGCAGGCCTGCGAGCATCAGGCTGTGAGGCCTGAGATGTGAGTCACAGGTGATAATTTTGTGCATATTAAAGAATTCTTTCTAAATGAAGAGGAACTGTTTCCTCCTATCTCCCACCCCTGTTAGAAGCAGGCACTCCTGTGCAAGTCTGACTGGTTTCAGTCCTGATCATCCAGCCAATTCATCTATCCTCTTACGGATTCTTCCTTCAAATCATTCATCCCGCCTTCTGGGCATTGTTCCTTCTATCTGTCTAACCATTTCCATTTTCTTTCCAAACATCCATCCATCTCTCCCTTCTTTATCTATCTATCTATCTATCATCTATATACTATCTATCTATATCTATATCTATATCTATATCTATATCTATATCTATATCTATATCTATATCTATATCTATACTATATCTATCTATAATCTATCTCCATTAGTTCTCTCCTTCCATTCATCCATTCCCACTCTCCCTTCCCTCTTCCTTTCTGCCTATCTGTCCATCCTAAATTTCCTTCCATCTCTCTATCCTTTTATCCTTAAGTCTTCCATCTTCTGATTCATCTTTCTATCCAACTATCCAATCATCTAATCTTCTTTTCAGCCTTTCAATGCACCTCCAACCAAGCATCCTTTTCTCCATTTATTCTCTTTCCTTTCTTCTTTTAGCTCCTTCTTCCTTCCTTATTTTTTTTAAATTTTTTAAATTAATTTTTATTTTTTATCATTTTTAAATTTTTTTATTTTCATGATACGATTTCAGAAAAAGAAATGCACAGTAAAGTGGACTGTGGACTTGGTGGGGCAGGGGATTGAATAACAATGAAAGATTATTTTTTTTCCTTTTCAAAGAGAAAAGCGAACTGAGGACGGAGGGGTGGGCAGGGAGGAAAATGTGCAACCATGAGTGAATGAGAAAAAAAATTAAATGGGAAGAATATGCTGTAAAAAAAAATTTCAAAAAAAAGTCCTTCCTTTTTTGCACTCATCATCTGTTCGTGTATTCTTTTCTTTCATCCATTCATTAATTTATCTAATCAATCTTTAATTAATTAACTAATATTATCCATTCATCTAGTCTAACCAGCTGTCCGTCTATCAGTCATTTTTCTCAGTCATCTATCTTCCTCCATCCATCCATCCATCCATCCATCCATCCATCCCTACAATCATACTTTCCTTCCTAACATCTTTCTAATGATTCCCTCTGTATTTGTACCTTTTTTTATTCATCCTTTTGTGCAGCCATTCCTCACCTTTCCATCTAGTGGTTCTCATTTCTGTCTTCCTGTCCTTCCATCCATGATAGCATGTCCCTGTCCTTTAACTTCTCAAATGTTGATGACCACTGAAGTACAGAATTGTCTTCTGTAGTTCTATGGGAAGAAGGAAGATATAAATAATCCCCTATTCACACAGAAATTGACATTTTCTTTTTACAGATTCGACACACAGCGAAATAAACATATTGGGGTCGATAAGCACTGCTGGAGACCATTAATGTCTTGGGGACACAGAGTCACAATCCTGCTTCCACTGGGAGGAGAATGGTTGGGAAGGCTTCGTGTAGGAGGTTGCATGTGGGGCTTAGAAATGTGCAGGATCTCCACAAAGATGAAGAAGACTGAAGAGAACAGTCTTAGTGGCAAGAAGCTGCACTGCAATCCCAGAGGAACACGGTTCGAATCCACCAGACGCTCTGCCGGAGAAGGAGGTGCAATATCCTCCTGTACCAGTCAGACCTGATTTGACGGTACACGCACACTAAAAAAAAAAAAAAAAAGAGGACCCTAAGCAAAGACAGACACAGACACAAGGGTGTTCAGTGAACAATTTGGTTTGGGTAAAATATATGCACGAAGCATCACTGAAAAGAGTGGGTTGTGTGTATCACCCATGCTGTGGAGTCTGGAGTTTATTCCAAGCGAGAGAAAGCACCAGTGAAGGTTGAGAGTAGGCGAGATTATGTACATAACCAGATGAGTAGTAGAGATTGGGTAAGAACGATGCAGTGCTGAGACTTGAAGACCAGCCGGGGCAGTACTCGCCTGAGTAGTGATGGAGCAGGACTTGGGAGGCAGGGTTTTGCTGGAGAGGGTCTAGGCCATGGCTGCTTCAGTTGCAGATTTTGCTCCCATGACAACCTTTCCAGGGGACTGAGTAAGAGACTGACTAGGTCCCAGCATAGAACTCCCTCCAAACCTCTCTGCCCTCAATCAGCCAGGCAGCTGGGCGCCACCTGCTGGTGACTGGAGCCTCTCCTGGATGAAGGGAGTTCCTTCACTTCTTCGTCCTGATGGAATTAAACTGCCCATTCAATGAATGGGCATTGCTTGAGGCTGCAGTACCTTAGAGTGAACCCCTCCTTTATGAATTTCCTGTGTTTATCTTTACCTAGCTTCCAGGATAAGTTAAGGTTCAACTCTGTGCCATGGCGGGATCTCACAGAATTGTACAGCATAACCTCTGTCAGGTTCAAGCCTCATACCTATGGATATTATGTCTTCCTGGTAGCTTCAAGACTCCAGGGAACTAGAAGCATTTCTCTGTGTCTGTTTGTGTCCCTGACAGTCCTTTGACCACCTCTTAAAGAACACAAAACACTGACAGACAGATCAGTAAGAGCTCATAGCTCAGTCGTTTTATCGTAGCTAGCTGTCACAGCGAGATCCCACTGACACATACCAGTCACACTTACTGAAGAATGTCAGAGCTTTGAAGACCTTGAAATCCTTAGTTTGGCTCCCTTGTTTCACAGAGGGGGAGAGTACAGACTGGGCTCTCGAGATGCTGATTCAAGATCACAAAGATTGAGTAGGGAAAGGGAACTAGACCCCAGCCAGGCCAGGACTCTTCCCAGCCCACTTTTCTGGACAAATACCATTAGGAATCCTTAAGGGGAGCTCTGATAGCCTGGTGGTAAGAAATTGCACTGTAATCCCCATTTTATCCCTCAACTTTCAGGGTAGCCCAGTAGGACCACCATCTTTCCAATCTCTAAGAGTCAATCAGGAGCTCTGGTGGCTTAATGGTAAGGAGTTGTGCTGCCAACCCAAAAGCACTCAGTTTGAATCCACCAACTTCTCTGCATGGGAGAAAGATGAGCAGTCTCCTCCCATGTGATTTAGTGTCTCTCAAAGTGTCAGCTGTGAGTCAGTTCTGACTCGACATAACACAACAAGAAGAGTCAACCGAAGTTCCAAGATGGTCATGAGTCGGTGTCATGGGCACCCCTAGAGGAGAAAGAGCTCAGGAAGTTAGCCACCTACACTCCATGGGGCGGCAATGTGGGACAGTGCAATTCTTACTCAGGGATTTATATAAGCGAGGAATAAAATCTTTACCAAGCTAGAAGAGATCGTATTCTCTCTAGACTTCTTGGAGATCGGGACGAGGTGCAATCCAGGAGGGCAGACAGAGATGCCCCATGTCCATCCCCCAAGGTTGCCTTTCTGGAACCCTCGGGTGATGTTTTTTTCTCTACCTGTATGCAGATCTCACTGACAAGCCTGATTGCAAAGATCCTGGAGTATTCGGACATGGCCCCCATCAAAGCCCTGCGGACCCTCCGTGCCCTGAGGCCGCTGCGTGCTCTGTCTCGGTTCGAAGGCATGCGGGTAAGACCACAGATTGGCAGTGCTTGGTCCTCTTCCCTCCCTTCGGTGCCCACCCTACCCCCTACCCTGAGCTCTAAGACTCTCCTCCAAAGGTCAACCCTGGGTCCACGCTTCCCTCTACAACTTGGGTGATGCTTCAGTGCCCAGAGCTCCACGTTCTTCAGACCCATTTGTGAACCCTTTCTTCCTTTCCACCCACAAATTTCACATCCCTAAATCCACTAGAGCTCAGACCTCCCACTCTCTTGTTCTTCTACACTGACCTTGATGCATGGTTCCACAAAACATTGATTCTTTCCATTTCTAATTTTTATTTATTTATTCTTTTTATGTGTGTACTGTCAAATTGGATCTGACTGGTACAGGAGGCGATTGTTCCTCCTTCTTCAGCAGAGCATCTGGATTTGAACTGCGCACCTCTGGGATTGCAGTGCAGTTTCCTACCACTAGGCCACCAGAGCTCACCAATTCTTTCCATTTCTAAACACTGACTCTTGTCATTGCCACCTTCTCAAGAACATGCTAAATCCTGTATCTTCCCATGAAAAATGAGCTCTTCACCCCCACACGCTAGTTAAATGCAATACTCACCTTATGTCCAGGCATTCGACTTAGTACCTCAATAAATTCATCCCCACTCCCCGGATTATGTTCCTCTCTGATCCAAGGTTATCACTGGGGTCTGTGCAGTTTCCCCACCTCACTCCTGTAAGAGTGGCAAAGTTTAACAGGACAGCAAGTAATAAATGTTGAAGAGAATGTGGGGGGAAGGAACTCATACATTGTTGGTGGGATTGTAAAATGGTGCAATCATTCTGGAAGGCAGTTTGG